TGGGGGGTGGGGGGGCGGAAAAGGAGCCACGGGGGGGGGGGGCAGCACAAGTGTGTGAGTGTGAGAGAGGAAGTGTCGGAAATAGTGAACCTTTAACAGCGCCTGGGGCAGTGCAAGTGTGTGCGTGGGAGCCACTAGGGAAAATTGATAGTGCAAGACGAACAGGCTGTGTGCTTGAAGCAGGGCAGGTGTGAGCGTGTGTGTGTGTGTGTGAGAGAGAGAGAGAGAGAGAGAGAGAGAGAGAGAAATGAGATGGGACACTACAAATATGTGTGTCTGTATGTTGTGAAATGAAAGCATAATCAATGCACATGCATGCTCTCGCTCTCTTTCTCACACAGACACACATAGAGCATGTGTGTTGAAACTGGCAAAGAGGATGTGAAAAGAGGGAGAGAGGAATTTTGTGTGTGAGAGACAGCAAGTGCATGGGTGCGAGTGCGAGTGCTTAAAAAAAATAAATGTTAAAAGATAGTTGCATGCCTGACGCCAGACGTGTACAGGGATATAAATCGCCGGGTTCTGGGAAGGATCGCTCTGTGAAGGGGTCGCTCTGTGTCCCCAGGATGCTTTGGGGGAGGAAGCCCATGTTGCTTTACATGTATGGTACACAGAGCCTCAGTCGCTAAACCTAACCTACTTCAAGGGCAGGCTGTGTGCGTGGGAGAACCATGCATGCCAACTTGAAGTGCTTGGGAGGATAAATAACTAACTAGAGGGGAGCAAGGGAGAAACACCATATAGTGATTAAAAAACAACAACACATGGAGATTGTGAATACATGTAGACACCGATTTCTTTCCATACATCCAGTGGCGTAGCGCCACCGACGCCTGGCCGGGCACAGGCAGCCTCCGCACCCCGACGCCGACGCCATCCCCTCGGCCCAGCCACAGGCGGCGGCTGCTTCTGCCGACTGGGAGGGAGGAGAGCTCCGAGGGGCCTCGCCGCGCCCTGCGCTCCCCAAAACCCTCCGAGAGGAAGCCGGCGGGCGGGCGAGGGTCTCCCAGCGGAAGGGGGCGCCGCTGGCTCCGGCTCTCAGCGCAAGTCTCAGCCACAGGGGTGGGGGGAGGACGGAGCACAGCTGGAAGCCCCCGGACCGGCCGGGAGGAGGAGAGGCGCTCGCCAAGCCCGGATCTGGAGCTCCACCTACAGCCCAAGGAGAGGAGGGGGCGGGGAGGCGCCCGAGGGGAGGGGGCTTCGGCTGCTTCGGCCCGCGGGGGCTCCGCAAATAATAAATTTAATAAATTCATGCTGAGCCTTTGGGGGGGGGTCCTTAGCTCCTTCGCTCGCCCCCAGCCCCAGTGGCGTAGCGTGGGGGTGCAGGGGGACCCGGGCGCAACATCTGGGGGGCGCACGCTCGCACTCGAGTGCTAAAATCCACGGGTTAGGGGGCGCAAATTACTTGCCTTGCCCCGGGTGCTGACAACCCACGCTACGCCACTGCTTGGAGGTTCCCCGGCAAGGGGGAGGAAAAAAAATTGAAACTTACACTTTCGTGCGTCCCTCCCGGCGTGACGCTGCGCGCTGACGTCATGGGGCTGTAATGGTGGTGTGCCTCGAGATTTTTTTCATCAAACAAGTGTGCCTTTGCCAAAAAAGGTTGGGAAACACTGGTCTAGAGAGCCTCTCGGTGCAATTGTTCATGGTTTATTCCTTATTTTGTCATCATTCCTGCTTAAGCTCCTCCGGACCATAAGCTTGATATCTGAACCATGTATTGTATTAGAATTCTATTCTCCTTTTTTCTGTATGCCACAGCAATGTTAACCAAGGTACAACCGAGTATAAGTGAGCAAACTGTACTTCTTCCATACATATTTCATAGCTGCTCAGCGTGTATTCTTTTTCCCCCTGTCAAACACATCTCTTGTAATTGTTTCTCCTTTCTTCTGCAGTCCTTCTGAAAACCTGCCTGTGAACAAATTTTCTGACTCCTTCGATCCTTTTAATTTCCACTCTTTGTCTTCTCTTAGGTGGGTGATTCTTCTTCATACAATATTCTTTCCTTGTTGTGGGATGCTACTGAATTTAATGTCTTCCTTTCCTTTCCTTTCCTTTCCTTTCCTTTCCTGACCTTCAGCATTTTGATTCCTTATACCAGAATACTGTCATATCCAGTGGTACCTCTGGTTACAAACGCTTCAGGTTACGAACTCCGCTAACCCGGAAGTAGCTGCTCCTGGTTACAAACTTTGCCCCAGGATGCGAACAGAAATCGTGCGCCAGAGGCGCGTGCGCAGTGGGAGGCCCCATTAGCGAAAGCACGCCTCAGGATAAGAACAGTTTCAGCTTAAGAACGGACCTCCGGAACGAATTAAGTTCGTAACCAGAGGTACCACTGTAGTCATGAAAGCCTTGCTGGTCCAATAAAAAATAATATCAGATAAGACCCCATGGTTAACACCATGCTTTATTCCCCCAATATCTGAAGCATTGAATTCATGGACACCAATAGCAAGGTACTGATGTACCAGGCCCATAGCCAGAAGGGGTGTTGTACAGTGAGCTTTCTTTTCTTTTCTTTAAAAGAGGCAAGTTGCTAGGCCTCATGGGATAGAAGACGCAAAGCAAAATGTGCCAGCAAACCTCTAAGTCAGCGGTTCTCAACCTGTGGGTCCCCAGATGTTGTTGGACTACAACTCCCATCATCCCTGAGCTCTGGCCTTGCTAGCTAGAGGTGATGGGAGTTGTAGTTCAACAACACCTGGGTGTCAGCATCGCCCTTGAGCCAGTGCACCAACTGGACTCATGCACCTCAACCCCGACTGGGCTAGGTGAGCTGGGTAGCACTGCCAGAGACCTCCTTTCTCACAGGAACAGGTCACAGTGCTGTGGACTCACAGCTTAGAGCTGAGAGCACCGGATTCACTGTCTCAATACTACAGTCGTTGCGCAGCAGAGTTTTGCAGAGTCTTGCAGAGTATAAACCACTCGGAGAGCAGCTCTGTAGAATATCTTCCTTTTATTCTGTAACTACAACTATGATACAAAACTATGTACAGAGCTGAATATTCTAAGCATAAATCAATGCTAGACTGAGAGTCTGCAGCTGCACTTAGCAGCAACCTTATCTCTAGGATCTCTAACACTCTCTCTCTCTCCGATACACTGACTGACTCTCTCTCTCACACACACAGACACACTGATGTGGTGCTGGGCAGAATAAGTAGATAGCAGGACACGCCTCCTCCTCTCTGGAGAGTCAGCAGAGACCATGAGGAGATCATCAGGAGATTCTTGGGTATGGGAGGGGTGAAATCTCCTCACTGGGGACCCACAGATTGAGAAAGGCTGCTCTAAGTGATTTCTATGAGATGACCCAGCCTGTTTTAGCCCATAGGTGACAAGTGAGTTCTCTGGGCACCAGGCGATAGGGAATCCCTGAGATCCCAAGAATTGCCGTTTTCTCCTACCCTTAAGTGCACATTTTTCTTTCCTAAAACCAGTCTCATTTTTCTAATCACTGGCATATCTGTAGTTCAAAGATCTGCTATTTCCCCTCATCACCCTCTGCCCTTCCTATCAAGTAAGATATATCTTCTGTGTGGTGAGTTCATCTGAAATCAGATAAACCCTAAAAGTTATTTCCCCCCCCCTGAAAATACCACTATATCACCTGTGTGGCTGGATGTTAAAGGACCCACCTCTCAAAAAGGCAAATGGACAATGCAAAAACTTCCCAAAGAGGACTTACTTCCAAGTAAGCATGTACAGGATTGTTAGCATGTAAGTTGCTTAGATCATTTGATTGTGATTTGAGGTATGCCTTTAAAATATGTAATCTGGTTGATAGTATTTTTATCCCACTTTGGCAGAATGCATGCATGATATTGTGGTGTTAGTACAGTGGTACCTCAGGTTAAGTACTTAATTCGTTCCGGAGGTCTGTTCTTAACCTGAAACTGTTCTTAACCTGAAGCACCACTTTAGCTAATGGGGCCTCCTGCTGCCCGCCGGAGCACGATTTCTGTTCTCATCCTGAAGCAAAGTTCTTAACCTGAAGCACTATTTCTGGGTTAGTGGAGTCTGTAACCTGAAGCGTATGTAACCTGAAGCGCATATAACCCGAGTTACCACTGTATAGTTCATGGGTAGGCAAACTAAGGCCCAGGGGCTGGATACGGCCCAATCGCCTTCTAAATCCGGCCTGCGGGTAGCCCGGTTTTTACATGAGTAGAATGTGTCCTTTTATTTAAAATTCATTCCTTTCCGCCCAAAAAATATAGTCCAGCCCCCCCCCCCAAAGTCTGAGGGACAGTGGACCGGCCCCCTGCTGAAAAAGTTTGCTGGCACCTGATATAGTTCCTCAGTGCACCTGGGGGTAGAGTTCAGTGAATCTGACAATTCTGATTTCTCTCAGCTTTTGTTTTTTGTTTTATGCCCTTAAGTTCAGTTCTCCACATTTCCACATCAGTTTAGGATATTTGTTTTTAAGTCCTCATGAAGATTCATCATCATTCAGATACACATTTTTGTTTGCAGTTTTCCCCAATAGACACATTTTTATAAAGCAATTTCTCCCCCCCCCATACACCAGATGTTTGTGTGTTATTTTTTACTGTATATTCATTTCTATACACACCTTGCTGCAGTGTATGCATTTTTGTGTTTTATTATTATTATTATTATTACTATTATTATTATTATTATTATTATTAATTAATTAATTAAAATGTGCTGCAAAATTTTAAGTTATGGCTGTGTTTTGGTTTGAGTATTGTTTTGGAAAGTGTGAATTAGATACATTTGCCATTACATGTGAAATGAATCGAATTTCACCCCCATCCCTGCCTGGGAGTAATTTGAATTGAATGTGTGAGACTTATGGATCTAAGTAAACATGCAATAATCAGGCCAGATTAAGATTGGTTGAAGCCTTGGAGTTACGGTCCTGGTGGTGGGGACATTGCCGATGTGCTCAGAGTATTTTCATTGCTATTTTCTTTTATCAGTGTTGGCAAACTGGTTTGAGTGTGGTTTTGTAAATTACTGGGATAGGAATGTAGCAATGAAAGCATGGAAGACGGTGGGAATATTTGTTTTCCTAATTTTGTATCTTTGTAACACTCACGTCTCACCATCACCTTTTTCCTGTGACTGCTATATAGTTCCAGATCTTCAATTTAAATAGTTTTTAATTTATAAATGTTGCCCAAATGTTTTGTTGGTGTTTGTTTTGCTCTAACTTTGTGTGGTTTGGTTTATAGTTGGCAGTGTGTCAGCACCGGGGTTTTGTGCCTTTCAACAGCTGTGTGGCAGGGCGTGTCTCTTATAGGGAAGGGCAATTATCTGGAAAGCTTCACCTGCTGACATTCTGTATGTTAGACGTCTTGTTACATGTGTGCTCCCCAATTTATTTCTGGGCCTCTCACCCTGACCTTCAAAAGATGGCATAAAATTGCACCTGACAAAGTATGTACAGATTTTAGGAACATCTGTAGCTTTTGTGAGTTCTTGAGAGAGCCCAGTCCATGTATCCATTTATTTATAAGATTTCTTACCCAATTTTCACCATAAGGTCTGAATTGATATAATATACGTGGAACAGGAAAATAGGTGCTAGTGCTGTTCTGCAGATACTTGTACACGATCTTACCCACTTGTGGGGGGGAAGGGTATACATAAGTAGGCTTTATAGTAATGGTGCTGGTTGTGTTTGTGTGTGTGTGTGTGTGCGCGCGCGCACGCATGTGCAAGCGCGCTTTGGATTGAGTTTCAGTTTTCTCATGCAACACAACATTGCCTGGTCCGACCATGATGATAAGTCCCCTATGGCTTACCTGGAACCAGACTGTGTGAACATACGGGCTCCCAGGGAGAAGCTTTCTTCTGTTTTGCTCCTTATTTCTCTGCGATTGTGCATTAGAGAACTCTGCATGTCACTTTTTGTTTCCTTCTACATTAAAAACAGGGGGCTCCTTTATCCTCTAACCCAAGAGCACATTTTGAATCTTGAGAAACTGCTGCAGGCACCAGTCACAAAATGGCTTCCATGGTGATGTGATGTAACACACAGCATGGTTGCCATAGGGATGTGGGAGGGGATGTGTTTGTAGGTGGAGGAGGAATGAGGAAAAGGGCAGAAGAGATGCAGTACTGGTACAGGAAGAAGGTAATCATCATCATCATCATCTTTTTATTATTTATACCCCGCCCATCTGGCTGGGTTTCTCCTGCCACTCTGGGCAGCTTACAGCACAGGTCTGATTTCAGATGTCTTCTAAAAGTCAGATAGTTGTTTATTTCCTTGACATCCAATGGGAGGACATTCCACAGGGCAGGCGCCACTGCCGAGAAGGTCCTCTGCAGAACCGTCACTTCTCGCAGTGAGGGAACAATCAGAAGACCCTTGGAGCTGGACCTCAGTGTCTGGGCTGAACGATGGGGGTGGAGACGCTCCTTTGGGTATACTGGGCCGAGGCCATTTAGGGCTTTAAAGGTCAGCACCAACACTTTGAATTGTGCTCGGAAACGTACTGGGAGCCAGTGTAGGTCTTTCAGGACCGGTGTTATATGGTCTTGGCGGCTGCTCCCAGTCACCAGTCTAGCTGCTGCATTCAGGATTAGTTGTAGTTTCCAGGTCACCTTCAAAGGTAGCCCCACGTAGAGCACATTGCAGTTGTCAGTACTAAGCTGTGAGGGAGCCTTGAAGAAAGGCCATCGTGCCTAAAGATCAGGAGGGAATCCTGTCAAGGAGAAAGGGAGAGAAGAGTACTGTGAAGGCTGATCAGAAGACACTATGGTGAAGGCAAATGGGACAAGGCAAAGTGTTAAGTTCTGGGTGAACATATCAGATGACACAGCGATTCTTCAAACAGCTCTTGTTTATTCACAGGCCAGAACAGAACTGAACTGAAGGTTTCAGTCAGCCTGCTTATATAGAGCTCCAGTACAATGTAACGCGGGTGGTGCTGTGGGTTAAATCGCAGAGCCTAGGACTTGCTGATCAGAAGGTCGGCGGTTCGAATCCCCGTGAACGGGGTGAGCTCCAATTGCTCGGTCCCTGCTCCTGCCAACCAAGCAGTTCAAAAGCACGTCAAAGTGCAAGTAGATAAATAGGTACCGCTCTGACGGGAAGGTAAACGGCATTTCCGTGCGCTGCTCTGGTTCACCAGAAGCGGCTTAGTCATGCTGGCCACATGACCCAGAAGCTTTACACCGGCTCCCTTGGCCAATAAAGAGAGATGAGTGCCGCAACCCCAGAGTCGGTCATGACTGGACCTAATGGTCAGGGGTCCCTTTACCTTTGCCTTTACAATGTAACTGTAACAATTTTCTAAAACTATCCAATCACTGAACGTCACTTTCGAGCCCTTATTTGCATAACTATCTACAGTATCCCCCTGCTGGCCCAGGGTGAGAACTTCAGTACATAACATAAAGTGTTGTCAGAAAAACAGTAAGCTGAGAAAACACTGGGTGGCAGAGAAACAAAATTGCAGTGGGGCAGAGATGATAGGACTGGGGCAAAAAAACCCACAACACCCTAAATAGGGTCTAGAGATGTGAGGAATTGTGCACTATTAGCAGAAATGATGTGAGCAGGAAAGCGAGAGTTGGAGGATGAGCGGTGGTTGACCGGACAGCCAAGGATGCATAGATTTGGCAGATTTAAACTGGAATTCTGCCAATTGTGAATTTTGTGACGGGGCAACAAAAACCAAACAGTGCTGAATATTACAAATGCATTTGTACTGACTGTGCGGTTTGTTTTTGTCTGTGGACCTCTAGCACGCTATTAACCCAGGGATCCTTTGTAGTGCATTAATGAAAACAGCATGTTGTTGACCTGTTTATGAAGTGACCTTTTCCGCTTCTGTCAACTTCAGGTACAGTGGCTACAGCAACAACTCCTGTTCTTCCACGTTACCTCATTCTGGATTAAGTACACCTACAACACCCAATTCTCGCCATGCTGCATCGCCACCCGAAGAGGCCAAAATTGAGAGGTTGGTAAGAAAACAGCGTGAACAAAAATTAATTGAAAATAAGTTAAAATATTGATATGCTTTCCTTGACCGAATCTGGTTTCAAAGTGGTTTATAGAGTTACATTCTAGGACCCCAGAGGACAGTAACACCCCCAGAGGACAGGATCACACTTCAAAACGACCTTGACAGATTAGAGAACTGGGCCAAAACAAACAAGATGAACTTTAACAGGGAGAAATGTAAAGTATTGCACTTGGGCAAAAAAAAATGAGAGGCACAAATACAAGATGGGGGACACCTGGCTTGAGAGCAGTACATGTGAAAAGGATCTAGGAGTCTTGGTTGACCACAAACTTGACATGAGCCAACAGTGTGACGCGGCAGCTAAAAAAGCCAATGCAGTTCTGGGCTGCATCAATAGGAGTATAGCATCTAGATCAAGGGAAGTAATAGTGCCACTGTATTCTGCTCTGGTCAGACCTCACCTGGAGTACTGTGTCCAGTTCTGGGCACCACAGTTCAAGAAGGACACTGACAAACTGGAACGTGTCCAGAGGAGGGCAACCAAAATGGTCAAAGGCCTGGAAACGATGCCTTATGAGGAACGGCTAAGGGAGCTGGGCATGCTTAGCCTGGAGAAGAGGAGGTTAAGGGGTGATATGATAGCCATGTTCAAATATATAAAAGGATGTCATATAGAGGAGGGAGAATCTATGATTCTATGATTCCTAGAAGAGTTCAGCAATGGATCCAGGTTGGTCTAGGTTTGGCTTTCCTGCACTAGGCAGTGAATTGGATTGGATTACCTTCAAGGCATCGTTCAACTCTTGTGATTCTATGAAAGATGTGGTGGTAGCGGCAGTGGAAAGATTTCAGACAGAAAGAATAATTTGCAAGTTGAGAGGGGGCTTGCCAGTGTATTTGATTGTTACCCATCCATTGCTGAAGGGTATGATATAAATAACAAATTAATTAATCATTACTGGCAGCCATTATCTTATTTCTTTCTTTTTTCTGTTGGATTTTTTGTTATATTTTATTTATATGCAGATGCAATACAGTAATACATAACTTTAACAGCATTACTATACAAGATCACTTTTGTCTAGGAGTTTGTTTCGTGGGCTATTAATTTTTTTTTAATTAAAGATTTTCTTGATTTACAAAAGTCATTATCTTCTTTCTTGAACTTTTATTTTGTCACTGCTTAATAGAGCAGCAGCAAATCTCCTCTCAGTTGTCAGCACATGCCCTTAGTGCCATGAAATGAGATCAGGATGTGGTTGCTGCTAGGAGGTTTTCCGCAGCAGTGAAACAAAGTTAACCTCAACTCACGAGAAAGTTCCCCACCTCAGCCTTTGAAATAATTTCACAGACACATACAAATTCTGGAAGAGCCCCCAAATCACAGAGTGTCAAATTGGAAGGTGGTATTTTCACAGTTCTAGGGTTATGTGAAAAGAAGAAAATGTTTTCTTATGTCAAAACTTTATTTTACAACATGCTGGAGTGTTGCTATTTTGCAAAAAGGTATTTACACAGAGAGAGGGGCGTTGGGGAGAAAAGGTTTTCTCGTCCAGAGAAGTGGGTGATGTTATAATCTTATGAGTGTATTCTTGCAGAATAGGAAAACGAGATAATAAACATAAAATATAATGAAAAGAAAGAACATTGGCCAAAAGGCCATAAAATGCAAGAGGAACAGTTCCCCAATTAGGAAGTAGCAAAGAGTTAATCGTTCTTTCCCCTCCTCCCCTTCCCCCCAAAATCCAATCCACTCCAATCCAAATCAGGCCCCCCAGCGGCTTCTATTAGCCTCAGGTGGAGCCACTGGGAGAAATAATCTCATTCTTTGAGCATTGTAAAAGTTATTGTAGAAACATTGGAAGAATTGTACCTCAAAAGCACTTAAATCATTGGAGAGGAACAGTGGTTAGTTGTTTAATTTATACTCAAGGTAGTATGTTAAGAGTTAATGAACTTCTGAAACTGGAAGTGGGTGTTATGATCACAGTGCAGATGTGCAAGGCTCCCAATTCAGTTTAAAGTGCTTGGTTGATCCTTAAAGCCCTTCACAGCTTGGGACCAGGGTACCTGAAGAACTGCTTGGACTCCTTTACAGGTGGGGTGGTCCCTTTTAGGTGGCACCACCTCAACTATGGAACGTTCTCCCTTGATGCTCACCTGGTGCCATTTGGCGGCCAGACAAATGTGTTTTAGCTTTCCTGAGCTTTTGATGCGGCCTGTTCGTATCTCTGCCAGCCAAGTTTGCGTTTGCTTTATGTTTGCTGACCACTTTTATACCATTCTTTTTAAATTCTGTGGTTTAAATATTTTGTTATTATTGTAACTTTTATTCTTTGGGGGGGAAATGCTTGTTGGGTTTTGTGTGCCCCAGAAAGAGACAGGCAGACTGACTGACTGACACAGCCCAGCCCTCCATGGGTCCATGTTTTCCTGGGGAAGGGAGACCAGGCCACAGTGGTCCCTCCCTCACCACCGGATGAGAGACTATTTACCAAGCTGCCACTTATCAAACAGCCTCCAAAATCTCCCTGAGATCTCTCTGAAACCTCCTTAGGCAGCATGATGTTGAAGCTCTAAGCATGGAAGTGTTTAGAATAAGCTGAGGCCATGAAGGGATTATGAAACAAGAACTGCATTTACTAGAATGAAAAAAAGAGAATTATTTCACTTTCATAAAATGTATGCACCACTTGACTAAAGAAGTACCGGTAAACAACCCCAAAAGCCCTCGAAACAGTATACAGTGGTGCCTCGCAAGACGAAATTAATTCGTTCCACGAGTTTTGTCGTCTTGCGATTTTTTTCGCCTTGCGAAGCACGGTGTCGGGAAAGTTTTGGAAAAGCTTCAAAAATCACCAAAGTCTTTAAAAACCTCAAAAAAGGCTACCACACCGCGTGCTATGAGTTGCTCCTCGAAGTCAAGTCGCAACTGTATTAACAGTGTTAAGAAAAAGGAAACAAACTTGCAAGACGTTTCCGTCTTGTGAAGCAAGCCCATAGGGAAAATCGTCTTGCGAAGTAGCTCAAAAAACAAAAAACCCTTTCGCCTTGCGAGTTTTCCGTCTTGCGAGGCATTCGTCTTGTGAGGTACCACTGTAATACATATAAACGTTAGAAAGAAATAAGATGCCCAATATAACAAAAAAAACTCAGATATTTCCTTTGGAGAAAAAGCAGAGTAAAATCGGTTAAAGATATCCACTTGCCCATATCTATTCAGACCCTGAACTTACCTAAGCTCACAAGTCAGCCTTTGTTCCTTGAAACCTTGAAATCCCCAATCTTCTCTATATCATGTAAGATACCTTGGATCTGCTCACCTCCTGCCTGTCTGTGTGTTTAAATGTCACCTGTCAGTTGCGCTCCTCCCCTTGGGAAGCTTAGAGCTTTAAAATTTCCCACCCTCAGACAGACATGTGTTGTTAGACACATCAGCAGTGGCAGACGCCTATGCCTTGATGTCACAGTAGACTCAGGGCACATGCTAGAGTTTCAAGCTAACCATGCACTTCTCAACAAGCCATATAAGCAAGACATACATTCCCATTATATACACAAGCAGTCAAGGAGAGTAAAGGCCGATTCCTTCACAGTACAAATTCAGAAACAGCTCGCACCAGCTGTTGCACTACAAGGCTGGCCTCATTTCTCTGCAACCTACCCCACTCCCTCCCCAAAAAGAAATCGTTGTGTTTATAAATGTGTTTATAAAACGTACGTTAGCCTTCGGGGATCCTACCGGACAAGTTCTAAGTGCAGTGCAATCTTATGTTGCCTGTTGTAGAGAGATACTGGCACATTTACAGCTCCACCTTTGTGACTGTGACTTCTTATTAAGCAAAAGAAAAGGACGCAATCTTGCCAGCCTGTAACTGGATTTCTACATCGCCAGGAGAGATGCATTTCTGGGGAAAAAGGGGCAAGTCTGTGTGCAAACACTGTTTTCAATGATATCACTATGCCATCAGTAACATGTAGCGCCATCCTGAAATTAACAAGGGTATTGTAGGGTTCACAAGTTTTGCAAAACACTGGAGGTTCTGTTGTGTTTGTGTGAGGGATGAAATGGTTCCTGAAAATTACTTGGCTTTGCCTTTTTTCTAAGTTGTTTGTAGCCATTGTCTGCACCATCTGCTACTACTTTGGTACCATTTTTAACCCTAATCTTTCCATTCCCCCTTATCATTTTCCTCCTGGGATAATCCGAGCATTGGTGGACCTTGGGATCTAAAATTTCAGCAGTGCCCTGTGCAAACCCTGTGCCCCCCCCTTGCATTCTACATCATCATTGTGGTGCCCCTGAGGCTCTAATTTTAAAAAAGGTAAAGGTAAAGAACTCCTGGACAGTTAAGTCCAGTCAAAGGCAACTATGGGGCTGCGGCACTCACCTTGCTTTCAGGCTGAGGGAGCCGGCGTTTGTGCACAGACAGCTTCCCGGGCCATGTGGCCAGCATGACTAAACCGCTTCTGGCACAGTGGAACACTGTGACAGAAACCAGGGCAAACGGAAATGATGTTTACTATTCTGTCACAGCGATACCTATTTATCTACTTGCACTGGTGTGCTTTTGACATGCTAGGCTGGCAGAAGCTGGGACAGAGCAACGGGAGCTCACCCTGTCGTGCGGATTCAGACCATCGACCTTCCAGTTGGCAAGCCCAAGAGGCTCAGTGGTTTAGACCACAGCGCCACCCTTTTTCCTGAGGCTCTATGCCCAGTGCGACTGAACCAGTCGTGCTCCCCTAAACCTACCTTTGATCCAAGTCAATCAGGAAGCATGTACTTAGTGCAGTCAGAACAAATGTTGCTGAGCGAGAATGAGGATTGTGCTTTCTGGACTGATCCCAAGGGTCCAACCGGTCAGAAGTGTGTTGCCTCGCTTTGTTGTCATTTGTCATTTATCAAAGCATGAGAGGGATTGTCTTTGGGGAAGAGTTGTAGAGCAACTCCTTTTATGCAGAAGGTCCTAGGTTTAATCCTCTGCCTTAAA